AACTCCAAGGATCCCTTCACCTCATCCCTTCACGGCTGGGTTTATAGGTGGCACCAGCTTGGACATGGGAGGTGGAGAGCCAAACTCAAGTCCAGCTCTTTATCCACTCACTCAACCATCTTCCTGCAACAAAATTTTAGGAGCTTCTCATTTATTGGGGGGGGTGTAGTCCTAGGACAAGACTGTATCTTGTCTATGGCAGGAAAACAATATGAGCCCCTTAGATTGATTATAGTATACCATAACAAGAACTTCAAAACTAAAAAAGAAAAACACTCATATTACTCATATATATGAAAAGTGAATCATATCACCATCCAATTTCAAGTCAGCTTATAATCTATTAACTTTCAACCAGCTAACCATATCTCTGATTTTGATTTTATTTTCCCCAATTCTTGAGGCAAGTAATATAATTTACACCTCAGGATGAACATATTTGAATGTAAAGAAATCATACATTTTCTCACACTAATCAAATCATGCAACTCTGCCTGATATTGAAAGCATATTAGCTTGAATTCTGAAATATCTTGCAACTTGGCCTTTTGGGTATAAAAATGTCAAGATCCTCTTGTAGACTGACCTTTCTCTTGTGGACAGATACATATTAACCAGGCTCAGAAAAATGAAGTGTCAAATCAAACGGTCATTTATTAATTCACACGAAGGACCAAGGAGGCCAGACGCTTAAAATCTGCTGCACACGTTGCTTTCCTAGAAATAAGCCTCATAAAGACTCAAGTTACTATTCAAGGGCTTCTTGATAAGACAGAATCAAAAGAAAAGTTAGGGGCATGGCTGGGGAATTAATGACAGAAAAGGGCTTCTTGATAAGACAGAATCAAAAGAAAAGTTAGGGGCATGGCTGGGTAATTAATGACATCAACCTGAGATAACCTTCTGTCAGGGTTGAAAGGAACCAGGGACAGGTCCTGATCTCATGGCTAGGAGCCTCACAAACAGACTACTACAACTGTCACACACACAGAGGGCCTAAGTCCACTCCATACAGGCTCCCTAACTGTTGGTCCAGAATCCATGATCTCTGAGAGCTCAGGTCAGCTGTCTCTGTGGGTTACTTCATCATGACCTTGACCCCCATGGTTCATACAATTTCTTCCTCCCTTTCAGAGCTCCCCCCAACCCTAGTGCTTGGCTGTGAATCTCTGAAGCTGCTTCTATCAGTTACTGGATAAAGGCTCTCTGATGACAATTAGTGTAATCACCAATCTGATTAGAGTAGATGGCCAGTTCAGGCACCCTCTCTACTATTCCTAGGAGTCTTAGCTGGGGTCATCCTTGTGGATTGACTTTATGTTCTTCATCCAGTTATTTCTTTACTTATCAACAGAAATTGAAAATATTGTATTATTGAACTGGTTTTGAAACATCTATTTCAATGTCATATACTGATTTCCTAAGTCTACCTACTGTGGAACCAGCAATTCCTGGATAAAGATAACAAGAAACAATAGGCAACTGAAGAAAGCTGGAAATGGAAGATGTGCTATTCCCTGGGGACAACCAATTGGTTGTCCAGTGCCAAATGGTCAGCCCCGAAAATAAACATACAAATAACATTATATGGCCCAAACAGGTTATATTTGGGAATATATAGGTATATGCATACAACAACAATTCATGAACAAAGAAGCCATGAATTTAAATATTAGAAAGGAGTATATGTGCGGGTTTAGAGTGAAGAAAAAGATGGGAGAAATGTTGTAATTAAATTATGATCTCAAAAAAATTTACAAGCAGATTAGCTAAATTAATGGATAATGAAGAAAGAGGGATCATTATTTTAATATCCATTCAACACTAATTCCTTCTTAACATTGGCACCATTATGAGATCCCAGCATAACAATGACAAAAAATGGCTTTGTATAACATTGTCTCCAAAATGAAGTCCCACTGAATACTACTTCTAAAGATTAAAATATGTTACATAAAACATAATCCCACTATTAAGTAGGTTTACAAAAGCCATAAGAAGGGCAATTAAATATTTTTCAAAACTTAGCATCTCTTTTAACAAATCATTAACAAACACTGTGTTTCATCTATTCTAACTTCCTATTGATCTATTGATTGTTTGATTCTTTAATTTTTGTTTGTTTGTTTTGAGACAGGGTTTTGTGTGTCTGAGGCTGGCTTTGAACTTGCTATGTAACTGAGAATGATGACCTTGGCTATCTGATCCTCTGGCCTCCATCATCTCCACTTCCAATGGGTGACGTTACATGTATGTTCCACTGTATCTGGATGATGCAACTCTAGGATCCAATCCAGGGCTTTCAGCATGCTAGGCAAGAACTCTATCAACCGAGCTATGTCTCCAGTTCACTTCCTAGGAAATCTTGCAGTAAACATTATACTCTGTTAGCAAACATAAAACTTTGTGAATCCACCCACAGCTAAACACTGAACTGAATTCCTGGAATCCAGTTGCAGAGAGGGAGGAGTGATGAGCAAAGGAGTCAAGACCAGGCTGGAGAAACCCACAGAAACAGCTGACCTGAACAAGGGGGAGCTCATGGATCCCAGACTGATAGCTGGGAAACCAACATAGGACTGTTCCAGATCCCCTGAACATGAATTTCAGTTAAGAGGCTTGGGCAATCTATGGGGCCTCTGGTAGTAGATCAGTATTTATCCTTAGCACACAAATGGACTTTGGGAGCCCTCTCCACATAGATGGATACTCTCTCATCCTAGACACACAGGGGAGGGTTTAGGCCCTGCTCCAAATGATATGACAGACTTTGAAGACCCCCATGGAAGGCATCACCCTCCCTGGGGAGCAGAAAGGGAATGGCATAGGGGGTCGGTGGGGTGCAGGGGAGGAAGGGAGGGAGAGGGAACTGGGAATGACATGTAAAACAAGCTTGTTTCCAATTTAATGAAAAAAATATTGGGCAATAAAACAAAACTTTGTCAATTAAAATATGACCCTTTCATATTGTTGGTTTGTTTGCTTCCTTGCTTGTCTTAGAAGTACTGGGAGTGGACCTACAGACAGCTGCACGATGGGCTACTGCTCCACCATTAACCTATGTTCCCAGGTAATTTGTTTAGATCTATTTGTTTATTTATTTATTCATTTACTTATTTATGTGTGAGAGTGTTTTGCCTGCAAGCATGTATTGCACCATGTAAATGCCAGGTGCCTGACTAGATCAAAAAGAGGTGTCAGACTCCCTGGATCTGAAGCAGTGAATGGTTATCAGCCACCATGTAGGTAATGGCAACCCACCCTGGGTCCCCTGCAAGAAAAGCAAACCTCTTGAGCACTGAACCATCTTCTGATTCTCTGATGACCGTCTTAGAGGTCGGGGTTAAGTCTTACCATCATATGCATATTAAAGCTCCTCCCAGACTGATTTAGGACAGATTCTGCCATAATTCTCTCTACTGTCTACAGCAAATAAAAAACAAAGCACTTAAAGTGTTCTGAGCAGTATTTCTCGCTGGGAGTTTAATTATATTCCGTCACCTTTTGGCCAGATGTCATTGGCACTGATGATGTTCCACACAACTTGTCTCTGTGTCACCAATGACATTGAGACTGCAGCATTTCCAAGAAAAGATCCAAGGTTTTCTTAAAACCAAACATCTTTTCTTCCACTTTGATAATTGTACATCCCAGCTCCTAATGAAACGTGCCAGAAAGATGGCTGTATACAGCAAGCAGACATCAAGGTCTTTCCTCCAATGTTCCTTGAATGATTTGTTGATTAACATATGTATGGCTATATGTTGCCTCTAATACTAGGGGTTCTAACAAACTTCTGTGGGTAGTAAAATATGAATCTATTCTGTCCAGCCAACATTAGAAAATTTAATCATGTGAAATATGAAAAATGTATCTTAGAGTTGCTTAGTATGAGATCTACTGGGCTCTTACTTTTCGCAAACATTGCCCAACATTGTCAAGCCTATGTGTGCTCAAAGCCTCCAGCTATATGTTCAATATTCTGTTCTTGTATTTTTTGGTTGTGAGCCTATCCTTTAACAGCTGAGCCATCTCTCCAGCCCAATCCTCTGTTCTTACTTAAGGTAGCCAAATAATATTGGAAGCCTTGATATACATAAAGAATAAAAATGCATGGTACCTGATTACATTTGAATTGTGGATAAACCATACTATTTTTTTTCTTGTTAGTGTGTCCTAGGGGGACTGACCAAAAATAAAGTATTTATTGCTTATTCAAAATTCAAATTTAATTGGTCATCCTGGACTTATTTCTGGCAATATTAAATGTAGGACAGAAGTGTTATAATATTGATTTAAAGTCATTACAAGTCTAGTGTTATCTTGAAATAATGTTTCTATATAAGAATTCAGTTCCAATTTCCATAAAATCATCAAAATGCTAACTGCAGATGTTCAAAATAGTGAAATTCACAATGGTTAAAATGAATTTGGACAGAATTGTGCTTGCGGTTTTTTCCTGTGTTAATGTTCTTCTATTACCAGTATAATGAGAAAAATCAATAAAGCTATTTTCATTAAAAAGGAGATATAAATTATACATATAAAAAGTTATTAAAAGAAATTCTGTATGCAACCTACTTTTCCAATTTTCTTGTTATTAAACTGAGTCCCTTTACACTTATTTTCTCTGTTTATGAAAGGGGCTGAGGTTGTAGCTCAGTAAAAGAAGACCTAAGATAGTATATGTGAGATCTAGGTTCAGTCCTCAGCATTACACACAGACACACAGACACACAGACACACACACACACACACACACACACACACACAGACTCACACACACAGAGACTCACACACACACATACATCATACATAGACACACACACATACACACCACACACACACAAACCACACGGACACGCAAACACACACACACAACTGATATATGTTGGACAGGTGCAAATGAATTACTGTTGCCAAAATCTGTATTGTTTTTCTTTTATTGCTGTAACAGACTACCACTTTCATGTAACTGCCAAAGATTAAACAGAGCATCTCTATGTAGTTATCACATTTTCTGTCACACATGCATCTAAGACATCATTACATGATTATGTATTTGTCTACAGGCAATTTTCTGCTAATTTTTATAGATGCCAAAATTTATTTTAAGACATACTGTCAAGTATAAACATTATTCAAAATGAACTTTAAGCAAAATGCAGAAGATATTCTTTGTGAAAATAAAAAAAAAAACACAGTTGAAAAGTAGGTACCTTTACATTTTTATTAAAGAAAACGCAACCTGATAAATACTGAAAAGTCAGACTTTGGAGATAACTATGGCTTTTTTAAAGTTAAGGATTTTTGTAACAAACATTAGAGAAGGTGAAAGTAAAATGCGGATTTCACATATCATATGTATTTGTTCACAAGAAAGCTTCCTCAGGGGCGAAATAAGTGACGGTGGGAACAAGTTACTGCATCCCAACCAGTCCTCTTTTTCTATCTCATCTCTTACCTCTGTTAAAATTGAATCCAATAGGGATTCATTCCTTTAGATTCACATTCTGTACTAAAATGGCAAAACATAAAGAAAAACCAGGTATAAGCCGACAGCTTCCTTGCAGCTATTAAAAACTAAGACAAAACTTGACATTGGGAGGGGAAATATGCCTCAAACACAAGTTACCAGGAGCAAGTAGTTGGTCACTGAGCCAGAAAATAGTGACTGCATTGTTGTCTGTTTAAAGCACACCATCCTCTACCAACAGAGACATAAGCCATGCCCACCAGCTAAGGAAAAAAAATCAAATGGATGTCATTGAGACATTTCTATTAAATTTAAAAAACAAAAATCTGTGTCCTGGCCAGCAGAGAGATTAGCCAAGGACACTTGATGAAATAACATGAAAGTAAGATGTAATTTTAAAGAAAGGAAACAGGTACATGCAAGCGATTATGAACCATTGATCATATTTATGGCTCGTGTTTTATAACTTTCTCTGCAGTGCCCATTGTTTATTTATATGAATTTTTAAAACCCTGAAATGAATGTCAACCGCCCCATGAAAATACTACAAAACACGGACATTACTTACAAATTACTTGTGCCTCTCGAAGCAGCCTCACAGCTGTATATCAGTCGGTGGTGTATTTCACTTTAAGCTGCCTCATCTACTTTCATCTCTGTGCTATGTATAGCATGCTGAACTGTCTTCTGAAGATCAAAGAGAAGCGGGCTCCGCTTTATTTACAAAGGCAAATTTAATGGGTAACCAAGGTGCTTATTTTATGAAACCGACTAGTCCCTTTGAACTACTATCTCTACTGATCCATACACCATGCTCTAAATGCAGAGGCTCTCTTGAATCTGGAAAATGTTCTTAGCTTAATGGGTGCCCTCTCTTTGAACTACATGCCATGGTTTTACGGGGCTGGAAGGACACACAGAGGTTCCTCCAGGCCTCATGAGTGCTGAAGGAATTTGGAAGAGCAAAGCAAACAACACAAAGCAGGACTATGGAATTGAAAATATTTCTCCCAGTATCAATAAAGGAAGTGCATGATGCAATATAAGTGTCTAGCCAAAGCTGGGACACTGATTCAGCATTGGTATGAGTTATACCCCTCATTGCTCCATAGAGAAATAATACATTTATTAATGTAAAAATGAATGTATGCTAAGCAACAAGATACAAAAGAGAGAAGATTTGGGGGATGTGTACTCCAATAACTTGTTAACTGTCAACATGAATTTGTCTCAGATGTCCACATCTCCTAGAATCTCACATCTTAAAAAAAAAGAACAAATGGCTTTTTCATGGAGAAACAAGACTGCTTGCCAGTATCTATAACTCTCCTCCTCTGAGGTGTGCGTTCTCTTCCTTTTTGAGTTTATGCACCTGTTTGGGCCAATGAGGAGTAAATAGAAGACACATAATAGTTCTGGAAGATTCATTGATTGGGGAAGTTTACCAATATTCTTTTTACTTCTGGATGGTGAAGAAGAACAGAGCCACAATGCTATGGGTAGCCAGTGCTTCTGAGAATGACCTGCTCTAACAGCCTCGCTGTTTAAAAACCAACTTTCTCACCACACGATGACCTGTCCAACTCAATGGAACATCTCAGGCAATCAAGGCAAAGATTCCATCCATAGTGCAAACACTTGGGAGCTGATAAGCCAGTGCTGGTGCTTTGCTTTTTCCCCCCTCTATTTGATCTCGTTCATTTAAAAAAAGTGAACATGCTATTTTAAGCTTACAGTGATATATAATTAATGAAGCCATCTCCTCCTCCTTTTCATCTTTTCCTGTTACCACTGTACCTCTCCTGCCTCCCTCGTAGAATCACTGAAAACAGTGACTATAGCCAGACACCAAGAAGAAAAGAATATAGGAGATAAAAAGGAGATGAAAGCCCTAAACTTCCCCTCATTCCTCATAGTGGTCAACTCAAGGGTTTAAATACTAGTTGAAATGGCTGCAGTTGATATTGTTGTTCTCAAAAGCTGCAGGGACCGTTTCCTCTGGACTATTTCCTTTGACACTAAGACTTCGGGCAACTTCCCGAAAAACGATAGCATTTCCAAAGAGGATGTTCTATTGTCTGAAGTCCACAATTTTCTTTGATCTGGTTCACATGAGGATTGGCTGACTTGGTCTCACATACATTTTCTTAAACTTGTTTGTAGGACCTACAAAATGGAAGCACGTGAAAATGTAAAATACAATTTTTTTTTCAGCTCAGTGAATGCAATAAATGGTTTTCAACATGTCTAAAACAGTCAATGACTAGAAGATACAGTCTATTGGCTACATGCCAAGCATTGTGCTAAGCACTTTACAGAACATTTCTCTGGAATCTTCTTCACAATGCTATGCAGTATAGTCTGCATCTGTGGAAGGTGACATTTAGAGAAACTAACTCAGCAGCATCCATAGCCAGTCAAGAAGGAGCAGAGAGGAGTGTCTGTGCAATGTGACTGCAAAACCCAGCGTCTTAACCAATGCTCAACACTGCCATCATACAACCAGACTGTCATAAAACCATCCTATTGCTATTAAGTGCTGTGTATATACAGACTCATGTAGGCAGATTGCTCTAAGTTTTTCATAACAAAGGAAGGTGTACTGCTCAATCGAAACTGGCTAAGGCAACAACACAACACATTCCCTTATGATAAGTAGAATGCTTACACCTACACACAGCAAAGAGAACACATTTACTTATGAATTTACACTGGATCAGGAGGATTTCCTGAAATTCACAGGACGTAAGAGGAGGATTTGCTTTTATTACTATTTCCTTGTCATTGTGGATTTCAAATAACAATTATTTCTTTCTTATCCTCTAGTTACTTACAGAAAACACACTAACTTACTTTGAAATTTTTAAGGAATTGTTGAATGTATGTTATTCTATACGGCATGAGAGGGACTGAGTATGCAGCACCGTGCTAAAAAAGTTTGCCTAGCGTGCGCAGTTCCTACTACCAAAAGCAAAAACCCATCTGAACCAAAGCAAAATTGAAAGGAATGTTTGTGAAACCCAAAACTGAGCTCCAGAAGGATATATAGTTGAAATACACATTAGATTTCTGTGGTTACTGCACAAGTCTGCCATCTGATGCAGTGGGGGAAGTGACTAATATGTTATAAATTTCGTTGTAGAACATTTCAGTTTCAATGCACATGAAAGTCAAATAAACCATTACAAACATTACCTTCTGTGCATTCCAATCTTATACCTTTCTACGGTGAAGGAGCAAAGAAGACATCCTTTATTTTTCCCCACTAATTTTCTCAACCTGACTGTTGTAGGGGAGGTTGATGAGAGTCCTTCAGAATCTTGAGGTTGAAAGAAAAAGGCAGAAGCTCAAAGCAAACAAACGATGTAGACCAGCAAATGACACTGCTGCAAGGTGGTGACCCTTGTCTCCTACTGTTAGTTCCACATTTGTACATTCACAGACAATTTCAAGGCTAAAGTTTCTTGAATATTTGTTATAGAGTAAAGTACCCACTATAAACACTAGTAATTCTACCCCAGATAGCGTTATAGAGGAGAAAATTATTTGGGAGTAATATAAAGAATGTTGTTTCAAGTATTTCATATATATATATATATATATATATATATATATATATATATATATA